ACCAGGGTGGAAAGAGAGAAAAAAAAAAGTTATTGTAATAGAAAATTGAATTGACAAAATTTATATGCTCAAGCGAGATATATGGTCCATAATAATACATGTGGAAAGTATATAAATATGGAGATTGTGAAGTGATCCCTATTATTAATCGGAAAACTTTATAGCTCCGTACTGTGATGTACGTCCTTTTTTTTGAAGTCAAACGAACGGTAGACGGAAAAAGCTCTTTTGATCGATATTGCGTGAAATTGCTTTGTACATGATGATTTATTGGCAAATTGACAAAATGTTTTTCGCATGCTTGTCAAGGATTGTCGTATTTTTGGAGAAACATAAAGGAATTTATGAAGATTGTCTTTGTGGAACGATAAAGTTTGCTGATTTGATGGAGTTTCTTGCTAAATGGTTTCTACTTGATGAGGATAAATTGAAAATAATGATTAAAGTTGTCAAAGACGATGGAAATGGCATTTATAAAATTATTTTTGGGATAAAGATTATTGAGTAAAGTTGGGGTACTTGGTGGTTGACTTGATAAGAGCAATCAAGAATTATGTATTGTTAAAAGCAAGGAAGCATGAGAATTAGGGTTCAAACTCTACGAATAACTTCTTAAATTTGATGTGAAATCGACTAGGAGTAGATTCGATGTACTATATATAACTTTTGACTAGGTTTTTGAACCTAGTAAATTGAATTTCAATTGAATTTCAATTGACCATCTTCGTTGGGTCAAACGAGTATTAAAAATCCTAAAGCACTTCCAAAACAGCAGACTGAGAGCGCCTTCTATTCGATTAAATCATGCAATCACTTAATTCAAGCAAAATCATCATTCAAAACCTCAAATTCTCTATAATCTATCACAACCACTCCATCCCTAATATCTCTAAAACATTCCAACTTCATGAAACTCTATATTCAAGTCATCAACCCCAATATCTCCAATAACAACATCAAGTCAATAGTCCAATCATTATTCTTAAGCTCATTTCCTTATTCCATTAAAATAATGACAAGAGGAAAAACTTTTTTTTTTATATTTATTATTCCGTCAGCTTCCATCAATTTGAGTCACCACACGATACAAGTGCCCCTTAAATCTCATTGTTTTATCATTAAATTATGATTACAATCGACATTTTTCCCCAGCAAAATCAATTTAGAATAATTTATTAACTTTTCTTCGACTTCCTTACACGATGCTCAAATAAGTTATAGAAAAAAAATAGAGAAAAGTTCTCATCATGAATATCTGATGACATCAACTTTACATTAAAAATTTATGCATGACTGCTATTACTACAAGCTTCAACCATTCAAATCAGATTTAAATTTGATTATGCTTCTCTCATGACATTATAATGATGAACAGATTTTCTGATGCTGTAGTAAGTCAGCAAGTCATTCTTCATATTCATCAGAATCAGTATAAAGCTAGTTGAAGACTACTTATCCCGAGTCATACAAAATAGTACTCACAAATACGTCTGTTTATTGATAGTCAGAAAGGCAATAAGATACCTTATAAAAGCTGTTTGACTACAAAAAAAAAAAGATTTGCCACAGAATCCTGCTCGGGTACTGATTTACACAAGCAAAAGAAAAAATCTTTTATCCTTGCCATTGACAAGGGGCTGTTCACTTATTACGTAACGCGAAAAAATGACTTGTTAGACCCCCCCCCCCCCCTCGTAACAAAATTTGTATGAAAAAAAAATTTCCTTGTTTGAATCGTAACAAAATCTTAGACCCCCCCTCCCCCTAAAAGCGTTACGTAATAAGTGAATGGCACCCAAGGCAAATGCAATGCTCAAGCTTTTTGTTTTGCTTCTCATTCAATTCAACCTTCAATGCCGGCTTCTTTGTTCCTTTTCTTGATAAAATTAATATCCAGCTGTGATTAGAAAATGCTACACGGTGGGATGCTGAGCTTATTATGTTTCTGATGAGATAAAATATTTATTAAATGGAATTTCCTTATTTTGTTAAATTTTTTGGGGGTTGCTGTAGCTGTTGTTGAAAATTTTCAGCTTTAAAACATAAAAGTTTATTTGCAAACAAAAAATAGGAAAAGTCGTAAATCAAAAAAATCATTTACGTCAATTAACTTAGTTATAGAGTAATTAAAATGAAAATTATTTGCAGAGAGATTCTTAATGCTCAATTAGCTTCTTTTATTTCAATTCCGAATTATTTTTCTATTGTAAAATCAGTAATTGGTGTAAAATGGAACGCTGTTAAGAGTTTTGTGATATTTTTGAGGGTTTCTGTGAATATTTTTTATGAAATTTAATATTAATAAAAGGTGGTTAAATTTTTTAAAGGAACGGAATAGCCAGTAACAACATTTACACTTGTTTGTCAACTTATCTGGCTTGGACATCTAAAATTAACACTCAAGCAGCACAACGGAATTTTACAGGACATTATTACTGCAACATTAAATGTTTCTTGACTAATGAGTGTAGAAAAGGAACTTTGCTTCAGATTGACGATCGGAATAGGTTTTATTAGGTTGTCTAAATGTACCAGAGAATCTCTCTGGTCATTTCCGTTTCAGTAGATCATACCAGGATTGAAAGTCACAAATGATTTGTCAAAGTTTAAATAATAAGGCTCGAAACCCTTCAAAATTGCATAAAAATCAAGAAAATTCCATAATTTTAAAACAATCAGATCAGAAAAAAAATCAAGACCCAGAGCTTTTAAGAGTTTGTCACATTAAATCAATAAGTTAACTTAACACGAAAGAAAATCTTTTTAAAACTTTTAATGGACGATTAATCCAATTACTCTAGATACAAATTTTTAAAGCTTTAAATCTTCATAAAAGGCAAACTTTCTGTCGGATTTCCTTTCCTTCTTCCTCATAAAATGTCCCCTTTAATAACATTTTAATGATCCGACCACTAAAATCTCATAAATTCTAAAGTCAAAAAGAATTTCATCATCCTTAATTCTCCACCACCATTTGACATTTTGAAATTTATGTTCCTACATACACACACTTACACCATATTTTCCATTCCATGTAAAATTCCTTTATTGATCACAATAGCGTAATTATACTGAAACGTTTATTATGTGATGAATGTGGAAGAAAATTTATGGCTGATGCTTCATAATTTATTTTCATGCCTTTGATGGAATAAAAGTGAGAAAATTTTGTTCTATCTTTGCATATAAAATGTTTATTACACTTTATGTCTTTTAAAATACACACATGTAGGAGGTAAATGTTGTATTGAATACATATTGAGTATGTGGATTGAATTTAGCACCAAAATGAAAGGATTTCGTGGCTGTAAAATTTTCAAATTGAAAAAATTTAAATCCAACTTTTATGGACGTTAGGATTTGAAATTTGATGAGCTTGTGAGCTTTCAACATTAATTTGGTGGACTTCCAGTTCAACACTATTTAGATTCTCACCAAACTTCTTGTGACTCTCTCAAAAAATCTCACCACAAATGAGAAAAACTTAAAAGAGTGAATTTACACCAAACTTCCAGTGAGAGTCATGCTTCCAACGGAACAACATGCTTATTGAAACAATTTCTTATTCCAATTCCACTCCATCTCACTGGAACTCCCTTAAAAATTCACCACTAACTCGACATCTACATAAATTTTAATTCATTAATTTTCTGATGAATTTTTCATAAAATAAAATTAATTTTTCGAAAGTAAATTTTATTTTCGTCACCAACTTTTTTGGAGCCAAAAGGCATTCGAATAGCAATCGACAACTCATGAAATATTCAATTCTAGTAAAGTAAGCAACAGTTGTCACATAGCAAAAAAAGAAAAAGTCACACTGATCCATATCAATGATTATTAAATTTTTCTTCATGAACCCCAAAGACATCACGAAAGAGACTCGTGTGTAACCTAATCTTCGTATCGATTTCTCTCTCAATAAAGTCAAGCCAGAAGCGGAAGTGTGTGTAGCAAGCAATAAAAGAAAATGTTTGCTTAGTTCTTGTGTATCATCCGGCACATAATCCTTCCATTGACTATAAGATACCTTAAGAAAATGCATGCATGAGAATCTTGAATCTAAAATAAAGCACAGACACTGGGTAAGAAAAAAAATGGGTCATGAATATAAAGTAAGTGAAGTAAATGCAAAGGATAACGAAGATGGAAAACGTTGTTGATGATGATGATGATGCTATTCACAGTTTAATATATCTCAGTAGCATCACTATGGAAAAATATTGATTACATGTGAAAAGAGATGTTTTATGAGCATGTCGACAGTAAATTTGAATAAGTTGTAAAGTTATTGTATACGGGTGATTAAATGGGAATTTTTTCTATACTCATACTTGAGCTTTTGTTGAAAACAATAGGAGGGAAGTTGCTATAACATTTTTATAGAAAATATGTTGCTGCAGTAAATATGCTTAGATTTTCCTTTTATTATTTGGAATTAACTTATGGAATTTTATGGTTGCAAGATTAATCAAATAGCTGCATTTTGCTTACCAATTATGTCGGGAGTTGAATGTTTGATCTGTAAAATATTCCCAGAATAAAGCCATGATTGTAGTTAAAGTTTCTGTCTATTCGAGTCGACTTCAAGCTAGCCATTCCTAGGAAATAAGCTTAATTACAATTTTGAAGTCGATAATAATTTAAATTTATCGAAAATATGAATTTTAAGCCTCCTCTTACTTATATACCCACATAACGATCAGAGGTTCAAAACTGAATGCAAGCAACAGTGAGCAATAGCTTTAAATGCTCAAGTCAAATCCCATTCTAAACTGTAGACATTGATTTAAAGTGCCTTGCCTATTCTGTCTGACAAAGTTTTAACTCTAACTTCTTCAATTTATACGATAAGCACCAAAAGTGTGGGAAAAGTTCATCTCCTTACTTCATTCATCTCCTCTCCATATATTTTATTCAGCTACTCATGTAATCAGTCAACATGATCTGAATAAAAATGTTCTTAAAATATTTTCTTCATCTTCTTATAATTCATGTAGATGCAGACCGAGTAAGGATGGAAATTTAGAAAGTCCCGAGATGGATGTAAACGCTGAGAATTGGAATCAAAGGGTATGAAAAAAATTTCAATTTACATCTTTTTTTTTATTATTTTCAATCCTTTCTATCTCAAATCCCACAAGGAGAAGCAATCAATCGCAATGAAAAATGCCAGTAATCCAAAGTCACGTGTCAAAAGTGTTCCACAAAATTTCGGGTATACGAAAAAAAGTAACGGAAGTGCAACAGCAACGGAGATATCAACAAGCGCAATGACATCAAGAACGGCAGCTGTTTCAGCCGTTCCACGATCAAATAAACTTGCAAAAGTGTCAGGTGGCACGCAGACAACGACAAACGATTTTCAACAGAGTGAGTTTCGTGAGATTTTTATCGACACTTACAACAAACTAAAATGTGCTGCTTTTCACACAAATGACTATTTTTTATGTCTCTTATTTTTTTTAGAAGCAATGCAGAGTTATAAAAGTTATTCACTGAATGGCCCCGGAGCAGCACAGCTGAGTCAATCAGTCAAAGACAGGTTTGCATCAGGATCAAATAGTTTACCAAAATCCGGTTTAGATATGCATGTTTTTCATGCTAGGTTAGCCATTAAAAAATTAATCAAAAGATTTTTTTTTCACCTTTTTTTTTTGCAAATTTTTTCATTTACTAACGAAAAACAATTATTTTTAATTCCTAAAATTTTATCCTCCTTATTAACAAGAAACAAAATTTTTTTTTGCTATCTGTAATCTGTATTAAAACAATCTAGAATGGCTGCTAGTCGTGCATCATCTAAAATTAATGATGGTAGTCTATCCGATACGTATTCCGATATAAAAGATTATAGTTCCTATTCGATGTGGTTAAGGCATAGTAATACATCAAGTAGATTATCAGATGGTGGTGAATCAATCGATAGTAGCATGTCTTTATTGACAAGAAATCAGCGGTTGATTCAGCACAGAAATTCAACGCAGTCGCCTGGATTAAAGCTTAATAGAAGCAACAGTATAAGGTATTCAAATTGAGTTTATCTCCATCAAGATTTTTTTTGTGAAGTATTCGGAAATATTGGAAAGTTTTTCTTTTTGGATAATTTTTTGATGTGGTTTTTATTCGGAATAGAATGAGAGAATATGAAATATTTGGGAAATATGGAGGCTTGTGGTGTGGAAATTGAAGTGAATGTTTTTATTGCAAAGCTTTTGTAATGTCTGGGTTGGGGATGTTTTATATCTGTTCATATTTGCTGTGGTTTTTTCATGAAAATTCATTGAAATATATATATGGGACTGTTCATTTATGACGTCTTTCATTTAGAATGGGGTCTAGGATTTTGTGACACTTGAAGAAAACTTTTTCTCATAAAAAGTTATGTAACCGAGGGAGGAGGAGGTTCTAAAAAGGGGTTCAGACCCTTCTTCCCCTTGTCCTTTGTCACAAAAACTGTCAAAGATGTCCCCCTGTCAAAATTAGGCCCCCCTCCCTTGTGCCGTCCAATTCAAGATTTTAATTTCCTGACTAAAATACTGGATTCACAAATTTCCTGATCCCCCTCCCTCCCCTGTCACAATGTGTCACAATTTTTTTTTAACTTTAAATGCTGGACCTCAGTGAACGACCTCATAAGTGAATACCTTAAAATGTTAGGATTATTCAGAGATTCTTCAAAATGACTTTGGATGGACGTGGTACTTTGTATTCTATTCCATAATAAATTCAATTAAAATGTGGGTCAACTTACTTCCAATTCCACTCATCTTTTAAATGCGACAAAATGTGACCGTTAATCATAAAATTTGAATAAGAAGCCCAAAGTCACAGTTTGTAAAAAGAGACTGTCTAGAACCTGCCAGTTTGGTCTCATTCACTTATTCACAAATATCTGAATCACACCATGAATCTTCACAGACACATCAAGCCACCTATCCCTCTTCAAATTCTCTTGATTCAATTCGAACTCAAAATTTTCTCGTTTAATCAAAAATTCATCATGATTTTGAATGTGTCAAAAGTTTTATTTTATCTTTTTTATGAATTTTTTTTTTGAAACTTTAAAACAATATTTCTAACACCTTTTTAATCAAAAACAATAACAACAACTGAACGACAATAGCTATCTGCAAGGAATCCGGACATATCCAAGGTATCCAAAATACATTTTTCCATTCTTTACATGCCAAAATATATAATGCATATGCTTCATGCTGAGCTTCAAAAAAAAATAGTACGAAAGACTGACTGCCAAAAAGCATATAATTTGCACGCCAACATACAAATTCGGCCTACAACTCACACGCTACTTACTATTAGTTTACTAAACGATTCTATTATAACTTGTTGTATCCAATTAGTTCTTATTGTGCTTGAGCTTTATAGTTTGCAGAAATGTTTTATAATTTAGAAAATTTATTGCATGCGATACTTTTCCGTTCTCATGACCTTTCAACTTCCTTTCATGCATGATGTCTGAAAATTATTCTCAATCATTTTTCTTGTCCAAATCAGCACAAAAAATTGTTCTATTCTTATAAAAAATGATTTTTCATTTGTCATGTAGATCTACAAAATCGGAAAAAACATATCCATCAATGTTGAGTCGTGCTTTAATGCCATCAGCATCGAATGAGATAGAAACTGAACCATACTACTGCTTACCCGTCAATGGTAATGTTCCATGGAGTCAACCCACGTCACCAACGCCACGCAATTTAACGGGTCTCATATCGCCAACGCATACAAATTCTCATAGACTTGTTTATCATAACAAGAAAAATGATGAAGGTAAGATATGAATGAATATGTTTTAATATGTTAGGAATTTCGAGGTGATGGAATTGATGCTGGAGATTTTAGGCGCATTTTTTTGGGTGGGATCTATATCAAGAATATTTAAATTTCTAATAACTTTGAAAATGCATAAAAGAACTCAGAAACTTCAACTCCTGTCCATTCTAATTCACTCAGCCAAAATAACCAGCAAACAACACTCCTTCCACCTCATTGCCACCAAAACACATGCTAACATAAATTTATGAATATCTCGCTTAATTAAAAGAAACATGCAATGAATTAATAAATTTATATCCAACGTTATTTCAGTACATGGAAGTCAAATATCACTCATGTCTGGCGGTTCTTCAATGTATGGCTCAACAACCGAAGAACAACGACAAGCGAATGAAGTACGACGCTTAAAACGTGAATTGACTGAAGCACGTGAACAAGTTATGAGCTTATCGAGTCAATTGTCAACGAATGTAAGTAGAAAAGCCTTTAAGTGTTTACCACTCGTCTGTCAATCTTTGTTTTTTTTTTCACTTTTTGAGGACAGAAAAAAAATTGTTTGTTGTGTCATGTTATTTTTCCTAGATCTCGAGAACTAACAAAATATATACATAACATTTTAATCGGATCAGTTTTATTTTTTTTTCCACGAGTGGAGGGAAATGAAGCTCCACTTAAAGCTTCGACAATGAAATAAACATATTATATTGTTCTTGTAAGGGAGGACTTTTATGTTTGCACAGAACGAAGCTTTCCTCTATTCATAAATCATATCAAATGATACATAAAATGATATTCAATAGTTCGAATTGAATCAATATTTGCTATAGAAATAGAATGAATAAACGAAAGACGAGTTGATGGATGATAAATATTTTTCTTTTAGTCATAGAGTTTTGTAATTTATCATTGACTTGGTTATGTAGAGAGTCATCGATTAAATGGAGGAGAATGAACTGATAATATTTGTCGTAATGTTTGAGTTATGATTAAATTGATAAGAATTTTTTTGGGGGGGCTTGTTTAAAGACTTTGAGACTTTAAGGTTTGGTTGCTAGCTGGTTGGTCTACGAACTGACAGCCTAGCTTTCAATTTTAAAGGGGTATAATATGTTTAAGTCACTGACCTCAAACTAGGCATGGCAAACAGCATACTCTGAGGTGCTAAGGCTGTACTCTCGAGCCATTAAGCGGAATTTTTGCATTTTCGTCATAAAGAGACCTTTGAAACTTCCTTGAATACGCACTTAATCGAAATTAAACCAAATTATTCACTCACATAGAATAAATCATTAAAATAAATATTTTTCTCCATAATTAACCATAATTATGCAAAAATTTGCATTCAATTATGAATCATTAACCTCATTAAAACTCTCATTCATACTTTTCCATCTCCAATAAGTACAAAAAAGAAGGAAAATCTTAATTAAATTTTCAATAAATTTTCTCCGAGTAATTGCATCGAAATAAAAATATTTCAACTTCATTAAATTTCAATTTATTTGAACATTAAAATAATAAAATTGTATTAATTTCCACTTTAAAAAGATCTTCGATGGTTAAAGAACTTTTGTCGCTGACGACAAACGGCAAAGTTTAATTTTTGTATGTCTGTAAAAAAAAAGAGAGAATTATAAAATGCAATAAAAGTCACGTTAGTGCAGCTATAAATCATTCCAATTCGTGTGATGTATTCACAACACACTTTTTAGTTTACTTTAAAATCGCATTAAAAAAAATTTCGCATGTTTTAAAGAAAAATGAGCTTTACTCGTGCATTAAAGCGATTATGGCAATTTATTCTTGCCCCGAAAAAAATAATAAGAAATCGATATCTTATTGAGACAAGAAAATTCGTTCGTGGTTCATTTGCCATTACCCAATATCTCTTTTTTTCATTATTTTCATTGTCATTGATAAAATAAGACAAGCTTGAATGGGTTCACGAAGTTACATTTGAAATCTCGACATGTGCCATCGACACACATTCTCGGAGTTGTCTTACAAGCTTACATGCATCAAAAATATTTTTAATGATTTTTTATTTGATTTTTTTCTGAGTTGTATCTGGATGATGAAGAAACTTTAGGAAGGTGGGGCTTTTAGTGAAGGTTTGGCTGACTGGTCGATGAGTGTGAAATTTTTAAATATTGTCAGCATTACTATTTGAAATTAAAAAATTCATCAAATGAGATAAGAAGGAAATCGTAGGGAATCTTAGAAAATAGTTTAGGCTCACTGACTAGATGTCCTCTTTACTTTGATTGCTTTTATCCAAAAATTAAATTTTTAAAGCCATGGTCAACTTGAACAATGGCTGTATCAATGATTTACAATAGCTAGGTTAAAAATGGTTTTCATTAACAAAGAAGTTGAATTTAAATTCCTTATGTAATCTTAGTAAATTAAACCTGAACAAAACTTGACATCGAGTCCAAAAATGCGCCTTAAACCCCTTAAAAAAATCCCACAAAAACCCTTTTCAAAATTTTTGTCATTCCTTCGTTGTGTTGCCATTGACAAATACCCTTGAAATGCATCTCTGATCTTAGTTGAAATAATCTTTATTCATTGATCTACTGGACAGTATGTCGTCAATAAATGCAATAAAGTGCAATTAAAATGAAAAAAAAATCTTTCGTCTGATTTTTTTTTTCGATTCTCGGTCGTTTCATTCTCTTGTCTTCTACTCGAGTATAATAAATAATACTTTGATACTGAAATTAGAACTCGTCTTACAAACATTTACCCACGTCTCACATGAGTTAAAACTACATGAAAAATGTCAGCGGAGTGTATCAAATTAATTCGATTATGTTAAAGTCATAAATGAAATTAGCTTCTAAGGTAGCGAAGCAACAGACAACCTTACGATGGGAAAAAAAAAGACGATCGAAAAATTCTCTCGTTTCACCTTTCAATATAATTTTTATCGTCTTTCCTTTACTTCTCATCGTTCATCCCTTTTTTGTTATCGAGTGTAACGCAATTATCAGCTTCGATCTCTTCTTCATTCTCAGTTCTTTTGTTTGAAGGAAGAGAAAAAGCAATTATTTGAGGACATTGAAGGCACACAATCAACAAATTTTCAATATATATTTTTTTTGAATGGTTTGTGTATATTGGGAGGGTTTTTTTTTAACGGACAAAAGGATTCTTTTTCATAGACTTGTATTGATGATGATCTTTTTATGGATTGATATGGATGTTATTCTTTTGTTATGTCGATCTTTATAGTGTTGAAGATTTTTTATTTCTTCTAGATATTTTTTCTTGAATTTTACAAAATATTCTCTGCTTTTTTTTTCAATTAGGGGCTGTTTGAATGCTCTATATTGCTTTTAAATCAAAAATCTATTAATTTGTAAGGCTTCAAGACTGTAAAATCTTTTTTAATATGTAGATTCATATAAGGATCCAGTCAAAAGTTCAAAAATCTACATTTTCAAGAGCTATTAAGTCAATGTCTAGCAATTAATCAATAAAAAGTTGTTCAAAATATTTAAAACATGAGCTCACTTCTCTTAATATCTTGATAAATGTCCTCTCAATAAGTATTTTGACTTGCTATGTGTAGCTTTTGACTCTTGTCTAGAAGAAAAGAGGATTAAATAAAATAAAATGAAATCTTGTGAAGAATGTGAAGTGAGTAAGGGCTGATAGTATAAAAGATTCTAAGACTTTATTATTAATTGAATTAATAATGCATTTATTATAGTCTGGAAGATGCTTATTGAAAGGATTGTCTCTTTTTTCTATTTCTCCTTTGCTTTGTTGCATTGATTGAATATTTATGAATCATATTAAACTAGTCATGAGTTGAGGATATTAAATATTTATTGGAAATTAATCAAAATTTTATGGAGACTTTCAGAACTTTTAAAACTGTCTGAATTTGAGTTCCTTGTCTTCTTTTGTACGATAAAAAATTTAATTCTTAACTTTAATTATCTCAAAATAAACTTTTAAGATTATAAGATTCAAATTTGTTTATTACCAATCTCATAATTGCTCATAAAACTATCTCAGCTCATCTTTCCATCCCCGTTAAATTCATTCTAACCAGAAACAACATCCACAACACAAAATTTTCCCTCATTTAAATTCACCATAAACCGCTTCATAAATGTCTGCATTTAATTGCTTTAAATATCATTCTAAAATGCCTCCAGAGCATGCAATCATCCATAAACATTAAATCCATTTATCACTAAAATTTGATAATAAACAAACTGTTCTCTCACGGACGTAGACCCTTCTGTTACATCCATTTGAATTTGACATTTTCCATATCAATTTAATTAATATTAATTACGCAATGGAGCGATTAATGTCATTATAGTTGAAACATAGAGTGATGAACTTTATCTCTTTAATTTCGTTCATTAACGTCTTGTTATTTTATATTTTTGTAAGAACATCTTTGATGGATATTCTTTGTCCTTAATTAATTATGTTGTTTAGATTTTGAGACATTAAATGATGGTTGTTATGAAAAAGAAGATTGTAAGAATTCGAGTTTGAAAGAAAAAAGGATGTTCAGGGGTAAGATTGTTGGTAAAGATAAGAAGTAAGGTTTAAAAAGGATGTTGAAGTAGAAATTTTTGAAAGATTTTGGATTTTTAATCTATTGGTAACTGTTTGGATTTAATAACCTTTTTGGTGCATTCTTAAAATTGATAACCACTGTGTATTACTTTACACACTTGATTTCATTTGCGTTTACAGGAAATTGTCTTTATCAGTACTATAATGTGTCCAGCATCGATGTTAAGTGACGGTTTTGCATGATTTTCAATATTAGTACTACTAATGCTTGCTTTCTACTACAAATCATAAGCAAAACCAAAAATACATTTCAAAAATCAACTCCAAAGCCAACAATCGTCTCAAAAACAAAAAACTTCAAATCACATTCATCATGTGCGACTAGTACAATTTTCTACGGACTCTGCGTCAATATACACTTCAAATTCACAACAACCTGTAAAACAGTTCAAAAATTTCTTATCCAAACAAATTTGAAAACCTAAAGACAAATTTTAAAGCTTCTTTGCGAATTATTTTCTCTACCAATTCACAACTCAACTAGCATAATTTGTAGTTAAAATATTACGACACAATTCACAAAGATGAGATGAGACAGAAATTAGTTGCGAATTTCGCTAATAGATTCGCTAATCAACATTTCAAACATCCATAAATATTCATAGACGCGATGAATAATGAAATAATACGAAACATAAATTAATTAAAAAGTAAATTGAATCTCGAAGAAGAATGAAAGTTTTCCTAATAAACTATTTATCCTTTCTATTATTCAAATTCTAAGTAGGAAGACAAGCAATAATGGAAGTTTTTCTGTATCTTAAACTCACTTTATTGTTTACTAAAGTCTGAAGTTTTTTTTTATGAAAATCAAATAATCAACAAAACTTTTCTTACGAGAAATGCATTCAATAATTGAGAT